CCCGCCCCCGCCCCCCTCCCCCGGGGCGGCCCCCCCCCCCCCCCTACCAACAGCCACCGGCAAGCCAGGGCTGGGGACACGGGACCTGGCACCGAGGGGGCAGCCCCCAGGCATCTCGCACACCTACGCGCCCCGAACCCCCTCCCCGGCCCCCCGGGCAGACAGCAATGAGCTAGTGGGAGGGGTGGGGGCGACACGTTCTTACCTCGGGGCTAGGGGTGACAGAACCCATGCTGGGGAACGAAAAGAGAGAGAAATTAAAAGAGAGAGAGAAGGGGACAGTGCAGGAGCCTGGGAGCTGCAGGATGGCAGAGCAAAATAACCAGCATGCAGCCAGGGCAGGGAGAGACGAGCAGCCAGACAGACACAGCCAGGGGGGCCCCGAGGGACCTGTAGGGTCTCGGGTCTTGGGGTATCCCCGAGGGCAGACGTGGCCCATCACCAGGAGAGCAGCTCGCGCCCACCCCCCACACACAGCTCCGCCCGTGGGTCTCCGTTCCCGTCTCCCCTCCCCAGAGGGCACCCCTAATTCCTGGTGCCTGCCCCTTGCACACCCCCAGCCCGGCCCCTCGGCCCCTGCCCTACCTCACGTAGAGCGAGATGGGCACCACAGTGTTGAGGATGATGATGTAGGACCAGAAGGAGAGGAAGCCGGAGAAGAAGGCACTGTGCACCCCCTCGTCCCAGGGCAGGTAGATCTGGAAGCAGACGCCCACCTCGTGCTCCCAGATGGCGTTGCCGATGGCCAGGATCACCCCCATGCACACCAGGAACCCAAAAATCTGAGGACAGGATGGGATATCAGAGCCCCAGCTGGGCCAGAGCCCAGGGTTCCCTGGGATCTGCCGTCCGCATACCCAGAGCACCAGCGTGTTCATCAGCCGATCGATGCTCGTCCGCTTGAACTTGGTCCTGCCGCTGTTCTGCATCAGTTTCGTGTCGGGCCCTGGGGAGAGGGAAGGGTGTCAGTGGGGTCCCTCCCTTCCGCGCAGCGCAGCAGCGGCAGCCGTCCCAGCCCACCTGCGAAGATGACGAGGCCGAAGCACCACTCGGTGTTGCGCAGGACGCAGCCCCGCAGCAGCATGTTCTGGTTGCTCAGGGGGTACTTGCTCTCCTTCCAGTACAGCATCCCACCAAACTTGTCCAGCTTGTTGTTGGGGGGTTCACAGATCACCTCGCCTGGGCACAGGGGGATGGCTCAGCTCAAACGGGCCTTCTCCACATGGCCAGCTCCATCCCAGTGCTCCCAGCACCGTCCCCAGCTCCCCAGAGATCCGCTTCAAGCCACAGGACCACAACACCATGTGGATGGTCCTGGTTTCTCCAGGGTGCGCCCACGCCAAATGACAGAGGAGGAAACCCAGGGGCTGCCCCGTTGCAGAGGACCGGTCGCAGGCACTCACCGTCAAACCGAGCCAGCTTGCTGGTGTCACCCAGCTCCGAGGTGACGGGGATGGCCTGCCGCACCTTCATGTTGGTCTCTCTGCGGGCAAGGAGGCACCACGTGTGAGGTTAGCCACAGCCTGGCAGGGAGGGCCTTCACAGATCCTCCCCGGTTTCAGGTCCCCGGCAGCTCCTGCCCTGCCTCACTCCCACCTCTCGCCTTCCCCTGCCACCCCAGGCCAGCGGGGGTTACCCACCCGTCCAGCTCCGCGGTCTCTATGTAGCACAACCCATGGGGTTCGCTGCTGGAGAGGAGGAGGAGGTCAGCCTGCCAGGAGAGACGTGGAAGGTTGTGCTGATGCTGGGGCTCCCCTACGCCTTCCCCAGGGAAACTCCTGGCCCTCGGACACCAGGGGCCAGTGGAGTCTTGGGAGCCACGCATCCTTAGCACCTTGGCCTGGACACCATCGCCTGAAGCGCCCACATCAGCCAAATCCCCAGAGCTCAAACACGGCTCAAACGCTACAACCTAAATGCAATGTCCAGGCTGGAAAGTCCCTGGCGTCTCCACTCCAGGAGGTAATGGAGAAGCACAGAAGCAGAGCGGGCGCAGCACCACGCCGTGCTGCTGTCCCTGCATGCCACCCGGCCGGGATGTGCTCGTCTCGGGGCCACACTCACCGCCACAAACTGGTTGTTCTCCAACTTGATGATGTC